CCAGACACCATGTCTCGTATTCAGAAGTGGAAGAAGTGGAAATAACCTTGCTAAACCCATCTATCCCCTTATATCAGAAGAAGCAAAAAAAAAAAAAAAAAAAAACCTTTTTAATAAATCACTCCTTCTCCAACCACAGAAAGATCCCTTGGTCAGAACTGAAACACATGTTCGTCCCTAGCTGCAAGGAGAGTGGAAAAACTAAGGAACAGCATCCCCATCACTGAGTTAGACCGAGCAACTATGGATTTTCTTAGGACTGAATACTCTGCCATTCTGAACAAAAGTGTCATTATTTCAACAGGGAAGAAAGAAGTGGGGGATGGGTTTGGGGATCGCATTTGCAACCGCTCTATGGTCCGAGTCCCGGTGTCCATGAAACCGTCTCCCTGGTTCATGAGAATATCGCAGACCATGTGTGTAGAATGTTCTCCAACCTGTGTTTACTTTTCAGCTCAGGTATCATGGATCCTTCTGTTCAGCTAACTAAAGGGTCTAATGTGTCTGAAGAGGTGAAGATAAGAAATAAAAAGAGAAAAGAAAGGAAGGAGAATGAAGTAGAAGCCTCACCAACAACTTCATGGAACTCTGATTTACAAAACTATGTTTCCACATTTATCCATCTCAAATTTTTAGCCAGCTCAGAAAAATCTGCAAAAACCTTCAAAGCCAAATCTTTTTTCACCTAATTTCTTTCTCACACCATAAAAACCAAGGTTGATTATCAATGGCCTTGGAGTACAGTGTTGAAACACTGACTTGCGTTGATTGAATTGTGTTCCCCTGAAGTTATGTTGAGGTCCTATCTCATAGGCCTGCCAATATAACCCTGTTTGGAAATGGGGTGCTTTTTAAATGTGTTAATGAGCTCAGACCAACATACCTTGAGTCCTAAATCTAATTCTTTCTGAGTCGTGTTATATAGAGCAGAAAATATCGGGGGAGCTCTGGTAGCTTAGTGGTTACGAACCGCAAGGTCAGCAGTTTGCAACTACTAGCTGTTCCGTGGGAGAAAGATGAGGCTTTCTGCTCCCATAAAGATTTACAGCCTCGGAAACCCTGTACAGGGTCGCTATGGGTCGGAACCGACTCCATGGCACATAACAACAACAACTGGAGTAAGAAAGGGGCTCTGGTACCATAGTGGTTAAGAATAGGGTCGCTAACCTCAAGGTCAGCAGTTCAAAACTACCAGCTGTTCTGTGGGAGAAAGACTCATCTTTCTCCTCCCATAAAGATTTACAGCCTCGGAAACCCTGTACAGGGTTGCTATGAGTCAGAACCAACTCCATGCCACATCACCATCACCACCACCAGGGTAGGAAGACACCAGGTAAAGATACATCTACAAGCCAAGGAACACCAAGATACACCCAGAGGGAAGGCTTACAGGGTATACCCTTTGGTTGGTTGATGATGCATGGAGGGGATTGTAACCATGGCAATGAAATGATATACGATAGGATGAATGAAAAGCTAATGTTCTCCCATGTAAACTATCATATAATTCACAATAAAACATTAAAAAAAAAAAGGTGTACCCAGAACTACAGAAGCTGAACTGGGCCATTTTGATTCAGGGGTAGAATACCTGCCTTCCAGATGGAAGACTCAGGTTGGATTCTTGTCCAGTCATCTCCTTTGCAGCCATCAGCTCTTTGTTGGTGGAAACTTGCATGTTACTGTGATGCTAAACAGGCTTAAGTGGGGCTTCCATACTAAGATGGGCTAGGAAGAAAAGCCTGGCATTTGCTTCAAGAAAGCAGTCATTAAAAACCCTGGGATCCTATCTAAATCTGATTACAGTGTTGGCACCAGATGGCGACATTGTGTCCCATTGTATATGGGATCTTCATGAGTCAGGGCCTGACTTGGTGGTACAGATTGGTAGATGGTGTCCCTTTGTGCATGGGATCTCCAAGAGTCGATGGCATCTAACAATGAAAACATATAGACAAAGCGCAGTTTTGAGCATTTCTCCACACTCCCTTCCGAGTGGGTGGAATTTTCATACATTAGGACCAGAGGAGATGGGGTATTTTGGGACAAAACATTTGTCTTGACTTAACTAAGTCAACTATAAATTGCCTGTGCACCCTCTTGAGTTTTTGAGGCTTATTGATGGTTCCAAAAGGGAATTTGGATGCTGTTTTGGGACTGGTGCCTTAAGGCAGTCTGGGCGAGTTCTCAAGTTCTAATGACTTTGAAAAGACCTTCCATCTCTGGGACGTCCATGGTCTTTGACCATCTGGGATTGGCTGGTAGGTCCTCTGCTGGGAACAGGAGCAGAGCTGCTGGCTGCCCTGCAGTCTCAGCCGCTAGCCTTCAGAGACTTGTTCACCATTAAGGAGAGAACTTCTGAATCAATTCATTTTATATGAATGACCCTCACTACATGGCCATTGTGTTTGGATGACTCTCAGGATTACAGCAATTGACTGTCACCCACAGCTGCCAGGCCTGAAGCGGAGTTGTCTAAATATTGCTCTGCGACCAAATCCTCAGTATACTTAGACCTAGACAGACGGCAGCTCCCTGCTGTTTCTGAAATAACCCCAGTCCATGGGGCTTCTCAGACTTAATGGTGCCTGTTACGATACACGTTAAAAATACCTCCTCCAACGTTGGAAAGATCTAGTTCTATTCCCCTCACTGCTGGTAAGTAAAGAGGCCACAAAGCAGTTCCACACTCAACCATTTATGACTCTCAAATGCAAAGAGATCATTGCACCTAGAAGTAAGGGGGTGACTGAAGCATCTAATGGTCTGTGTTGGATGGTAACCAATTTGCTCCACTAGCAAGGCTGGCCATAATATACCTCAGCTGAAAACTTGACCTTAACCCCAGACCTGTTAGAAGTCCCACTCATTTATGAGCTGAAAGGTTGTTGATTCAAACCCACCCAGACACACCTCGGAAGACAGGCTGGTACTCTGCACACAAGGGGGCTCCAGGAGGTGGAATGGACTCCATGATATCTAACAATGATCATAGTCAGTCCTTCCTCATCCCGGAAGCCATGTGAGGACTGTGAGTGTCACTGGTACTTACACTGAGACAGACATAAGAGACCAGTCAGGGATATAACGCTGGGAGCAGGACTTAGTGCACACTCTGAAATTTGCAGGGCAGCAGAAAGAATTTAATTCCTTTACAAGTTTTTTTAATTGTTTTCTTTTTGAGTGAGGGTGAAACATCAGCTAAGTCATGTATGCAGTATACTATCTATACCTTCTTAGCATCACAAAGGGCCTCCTTATTGGATGGCTGGCTCCAGTGTGTTGCTTGACTGAGAGGGTTTGCTTTGTGCATTCTTGCGGAATTTCACCGGGCGCTCCTAAGGGTGGCAGGTGAACCACCTCCTGCAGTTGACATCCAGCCCCCTGAGGTTCTTTCTCTTGTTTTTATGCAACTGCTTTCTGCTGGGATTTCCTTTCATTCTTCTGTCAGTTAAGTCTTACTGTCCCTTTAAGAAAAATCTTTCCTTCCAGGAAAGATCTCCTGACCTCCCCAAGCTGGACTGGGCGAGGCATCTGTGTCCCTAGTCCCCAGCAGTGTGGACACGTTGCTGTCACTTACGACGCTGCTTTGATGACTCAGTTTTTCTTGCCTGGCTCCCTGGAACAGATCAGACTGTGAGCTCACCACAAGCAGAGACAATGTGGCGCTGTGGGTTAATGCGCCAGACTGCAAAGCCATTTGAACTGTAAGGTTGGTGGTTCAAGCTCAGAAACCCGATACAGGGTCATTATGGGTCGGAACCGACTCGACGGCACTTAACAACAACAAAGGTGGCGCTGCGGGTTCATGTGCTGGACCACAAACTTGATTTGAGCCTCAAGGTTGGTAGTTCCAGCTCACTAGCCGCTCCTTGGAAACCCTATATTGGGTTGCTATGGGTCGGCAGAACCTACTCAATGGCACTAACATCAACCACAGAGGGTGGAGAAGGAGCCCTGGGGGCACAGTGGTACGCACTTGGCTGTTAATAGAACGCTCAGTGATTGGAACACACCCATTGCTCTGTAAAAGGAAGATACAGCCGTCTGTTCCCAGAAAGATTCTTGTTGCTGTTAGGTGTTGTAAAGTCAGTTCAGACTCACAGAGACCTCTTGCACAACAGAATGAAACACTGTCTGGTCCTGCCCCACCCTCACAATTGCTGTTATATTTGAGCCCATTGCTGCAGCCACTGTGTCAATCCATCTCGTTAGGGGGCTTCCTCTTTTTCTTTGCCAAGCATGCTGTCCTCTTCCAGGGACTGGTCCTTGCTGATAACATGTCCAAAGGATGTGAGACAACTCCTGCGATCCTCCCTTCTAGGGAGCAAATGGCTGCACATCTTCCGGGATGGCGTTCCTGTGCCTGGCAGCCCATGGTGGTCTCTTTGCACAGATGTAGCAGCTTTGATTTTTGTGTACTCCATCCATAAAGACTTCAACCGTGGAAACCCTGTGGGCATTTCTACTCTGTGCTGCAGCGTCCCTGTGAGTTGCCATCAGCTGAACTGGTGTGTTTAGAGGATAGAGCGTGCAGTGGGGGCATTGGCAGCCTGGATTGGAGTCCCAGGCAGCACACTTGTACATAGCCACCACCAGCTGTCCACAGAGGCTTGGGTGTTGCTATGATGCTCAGCAGGTGCCAGAGGAGCTTCCAGACTAAGAGTAGGAAGAAAGACCTGAACACCCACGTCAGTAAAAAAGCCAATGAAACAGTGCAATCTGTAACTGATGGTGGGGCTGGTGCAGAGCTGGGCAGCATAATGTTATGCACGAGGTGGCCATGAGTCGGGGTTGACTTGCTAGGATCTAACAACAACAACAGCGCACACAGCATCTTGTCTGGAGTAGGTGCTGCTCAAGCACAAGAGTAAATGAAAAAGCTCACCCACGTGGCGCTGCCTCTGGGTCTCCAGGCACCGAGCATCGTCCACGTGGTAGGGTGGGGCATGACGTGTGTTACATTTGCTCAGTAGTCTCTGTGTTCTTTCTCTCCTCAGACGTGCTCTGTCCCAGTGTCCGTGTAGAAGGAGATCGCTTTAAGCACACCAGTGGGGGAAGCAAAGAGATCACAGGTAAGAGACCGCCAGCTGCCCCTTATGGCTAGCTCGAGCACACTGTTCATAGGATACTACCGGATTCAGCAGTGGCCTCAGTGGCCCTGTCCTCATTCCCACTTCTCACAGAAGTCCTGATGGAATGACTGGGATGGTACAGGTATCATCTGCCACCAGTGGGCCATCCAATGGTGAAGACAGTTACATTTTCATTTGTGGTTGTGTGTTGTCGCGTCATTGTTGTTGGGTGCCATCAACTCAATTCTGAATCATAGACACCTCGTGTGACAGAGGAGAACTGCCCCATAAGGGTTTCTAGGCTGCGATCTTTACAAAATGAATCCGTTGCTTCAGCATTGGCTGAGAACCACAGGTCGGCAGTTCAAATCTACCAGGAGAAAGATGAAGCTTTCTGCTCCCGCAAAGATTTACAGACTCACAAACCCTATTCATTGCTATGAATCGGAATCAACTGAATGGCAATGCAGTTTTTGTTTGTTTGTTTTATCTTTTCAAAAGTAAATCACCAGGTCTTGCTGCCCCGGAGCGAGCCTCTGGATGGGTTCAAACCACCAACCTTTAGATTTACAGCCAGGTGTTTTAAGTGCTGCACCACCAGGGCTCTTTGAGTTGATTCCAAATCACAGTGACCCCGGGACTGAGTGGGTGTGCTCCATGGGGTTCCCAAGACTGTACACCTTTAGTTGCTACATCAGCAGACTGCCGCATCGTTCTTCCATGGAGAGGCTGCTAGGTTCGAACCAAAGTCACTAAACCAACCATCTGAATAAATGGATTAGAAGAGGAATTGGTGATTACTGGCAAAGTAAGCACAGTCATAGATAAATGAATGTGCTTTGAATAGAAGAGAGAATGAGTCACAGTTGCAAATATCTGAGCAGAAATAAACTTCTCAGAGAGCCTGGTCAGTGGGCAAGGATGGGTCAGCACAGCCTTATGGGGCTGGCCGCGCCTGCCGGCCCTGCACCCTAAGATAAGGGCACTGATCATGTGCTCTGGATATATTCTGCCCTTGGATGCAGATCCTCTGAGCCCAACTCCAGAAGAGGAGCCCTGCTCTCCTCACTAGTACCTCCTGAGCTCGGGAAACCCTGCTCCATCCCACAGCACTTTGGGTCCAATTCTAACCATTTGTAGGAGTGTAACATTGGAGAACTGAAGTCTCCTGTTCCAGCCAGAGAGCCTTGTGAGGTCAGGACTAGGCGCATTGGCCTTGGATTCCAGGGCCCCTGACATTTCAATGTGCCCTACAGTGTAGCCAGATCAGCATTTGCATCTTTGTGTTGGAAGGCTGCTCTGTCTGTGTGCACTGTAGACAGAACATGCCAGGTGGGTGACCCTGACCCTTCCCAAGAGTGGCCCTTGACCCCTGCCCACCAGGAGTTGGTGGAGAAGCATCCCGGGCCTGCTGCCCCTTGGGTGGGATCCGTCTGAGCTCCCAGAGTTTCCCAGAGATCAAACTATCTTCCCCCTCACTGCCCCCTTCTTCCCTCGTGTTCCTGCCCTTCCACTATTACTTACTTCTCAGAAAACCCCAATAAAGACATTGTTCGTCTCTTTTCTCCTGCTGGGTGCAAGTTCCTAAATTGCCAACTTCCACCTTAGGACACCTCCTGCTTGCCCTTTGTTGTTGTTACTCAGTGCCATTGAGTCGATTCCAAGTCACAGCCACCCTGTTGGAGCTTCCGTATGCTGTAGCATTGCAGGATAATGCACTGGACTACAAGATCAGCTGGAACTGATCAACTGCAAGATTGGCTGTTCAAACTCACCAACTGCTACTTGGACACCCTATACAGGGTCGCTATGACTTGGAACCAAACTTGACAGCACTTAACAACAACACGACAAATGTTTCTAGGAGCAGAAAGCCTCAGCTCGTGGGTTTGAACTGCTGACTTTGCAGCTGGCAGCAGCCCGGTGTTTAACCCACTGTGCCACTAGGTTTTGTTTCTTGCACTGAAGTCATGCCCCTGTTGCTATGTTGTCTGTGGATCATGGTTGGGTGCTCAGTTAGTCACTAGTTTGATGGATGGCATTTCCTCTGCATGGCATACTCATCCTCACCTTGTCCTCTGGGTGGGCTTCTACTCATCCCTCAAAGCCCAACGCCAGAGTTGATTGTGAACTCATTTTTAGGTTGTAGAAATTACATGGGTTACTCTTAGCGCTTTGTTCAGCCCCATGGACTCTGATCTGAGACGTCACGATTGTCTCTTTCCTGTCCAGCTCTCCAGCAGGGATAGCAGCTGTTTAAGAGCAGGACCTGCTCACACCTGAATATTCATCTGGGTGGCCTAAGCCAGAGGACGGTGCCTGACACTTAGAAAGTGCTGAGAAAGACTTGTTGAGTGAGCAAATTACTGTGTGAATGAAATGAGTCAGGGCAAGAGTGAAAACATGTGTATGTCCGTGGGTAAAGAATGGGCCGATGGGAGGTGGATAGAGAGAAGACTGAGCAGGTGGGTGGATGAGAGGAAGGCGCGGGGGAGAAGAGGAAGGAAGAAGGCACTTAGAACCAAACCCACTGACACCAAGTTGACTCCATCTCATAGTGGTCTTAGAGGATGGAGTAGAACTGCTTTTTAGGGTTTCTGAGCCATAAATCTTTATGGAAGTGGACTGGAGCATCTTTCTCCCAAGGAACAAGGCTGAGGGTTTGAACTGCCAAGCTTTTGGTTAGCAGCCAAGCACTTAACCCGCCGTGCCACCAGGGCTCCTAATAGATGATATAAAACATTAAACACTGTGTCTGACACACAGCCAGTGGCGAACACAACCATTTATAAACTCATTGGTTTTCATTATGATGAGTACAAGCACCTTCTACCACTAGGTTCTGTCCAAGGATGCATGCGTTCCTCAAGCATGTTCTTGAGAGCTGGGCACTGTGAGCTCACCAGAGACTCTGAGAACAGTGCCAAAAACATTAGAGGAATCGTTGCTACGGAATCAACTCTGACTCACAGCACTCACATGTGTATCAGAACTGTACCCCACAAAGGTTTTCAGTGGATCAGATGGGGGCCTAGATTGTGGGTGTCCTGGCGTGGGACTGTAGGATAAGCACTAGACTGCTAACCAAACCACCAGATGCTCCTCAGAAACCCTATGCAGGATCGCTGAGTTGGAATTGACTCAAGGGCACTTAGCAACAACAACAGTGGGTGGTTCAGTGGTAAGTTTCTTGTCTTCCATGCAGGAAACCTGGGTTCAATTCCCTGCCAAAGCTTCTGATACACAGCCACCACCCATCGGCAGTGGAGGCTTGTGTGTTCTGTGAGGTTGAACAGACTTTCGCAGAGCTTCCAGACTACGATGTCCTACGAAAAATAGACTGGTGATCTTGTTCTGGAAATCAACCCATGAAAACTGTCGGGTCCACAGTGGTCTAATGTGACCTGACTATGGGCAGCATTTTCTCTCGCCTCCTTTCTTCCTGGTAGACTTGTGAAGAACATGGTCATTTTCCTGTGATCAATGAGGGCGCCTGACTCTGAGAGTGCCGATACACATGCAGTCCTCTGGGTGAAAGCCAACCAACACAACCAAAGAACGCAGCCTTTCACTGAATGCAATACCAGGAGAAGATGGTTTTCTCCTTAAAACCATGAAGCATCAAAAATGTGCCAAACTACAGCCCAAGCAAAAACCAAAGGCATTGTGAAAATGCGGCTGTGGGAACAAAAGCTTCCGAATTGTTGTTTTGCTGTGGAGTCAAGTGTATGTAGCCTTCTGATTGGCTACGACCTGGTGCTTCACGGCTGCTCGTATTTCTCTGGAAGACCTCTTCTCCTGGAATTGAAATGGAAGCTGTGTGGCTCACTGCTTACTGTATTTGCCCAGCTTCCATCTGTTTAAGTCCACATGTGGTCTCCCCAGGCTGGGTTCCTTTGAACAGAGCAGATGTTCTTTTACCTTTGTCTCTTGCACCAAACTCACCCCTGGCTCTTGTCTTTGGAACAGGTTTTGACCTGATGGATTTGTTCAGTGTGAAGGAAATCCTGGGGAGACGAGAGAATGGTGCCCAGAGCTCCTATGTTCGGATGGGAGCCTTCCCCGTGGTGAAGAGGACTGAGTGAGTGCTGGCCCACCTGGGTGCCCTGGGAAGGGATAGGGAAGGGCCAGGTGGACACAGCTCCTCACTGAGGAGCTCTCTCACCTGGCACCTGGTAAGGTCCTCTCAGATGCAGACGCTGAACTGCTGAGCTGGGAACTGAATGAATGCAATGTCCCCGAAACAGCTTCCTTCTTTCTGATGTTCCTCTCTTTAAAATCATGAAGTGTACAACCTGCCCTGTTTTGCTGGCAGGTTCACCTTCAGAGCCTATGCACCCTCATTTAAACACAAGTATAGACATGCTTACTTGGTGAACTTTTATGAGACAGAAACGGGATAATCTGTTTGTGTCTCACAGCCTATCTGCTGGTATTGAATTTGTTGGGTCCCTGGTTCTGGTGGCACTGTGAGTTTTGTGTAGGGCTGCTAACTGCAAGGTCAGTGGTTGAGACCCATCAGTCCCTCTGAGGAGGAAGCAGAGGCTGTCTGCTCCTGGGAAGATTTGCAGTCTCAGAAACCTCATGGAACAATTCTCCTTTGTCCTACAGGGTTACTATGAGATAGAAACCACTCGATGGCTTTTGGGCTTCTAAGGGGTTGGTCCTATGACAGATCCTTGGTGGTGCAAACAGTTTGTGTTCAACTGCTAATTGAAAAGGTTGGAGGTTCAAATCCACTCAATGGGGCTGCAGAAGAAAGGGCTGGCAATCTGCCTCTGTGAAGATTACAACCATTGGTAAGAACTGACAGCAAAGGCATTTAGGAGCTCTGGTGTCTCTGTCCTTAATACAGGTAAAGAAGAGACAGCCTGTCAGAGAGTGCTCTGAGGAGAGGCAGGACCCTGGTCCCTGGAGGTGAAATCAGTCCTGTTTTCCAGAAAACACCAAACCTGTTGTTGATTTCAACTCCTGGTGACCCTGTGTGGGTCAGAGTCACACTGTGTCCCATGGGGCTTTCAATGGCTAGTTTTTCAGCAATATATTGCCAGGCCTTTCTTCTGAGGTGCCTCTGGGTGGACTTGAACCACTTTTGGTTAGTAGCTGAGCATAAAACCATTTGCATCACCAGGGACTCTGGTCTGGGTACCAAAAAACCCACTGCCACTGAGTCCATTGGGACTCCTAGGGATCCTGGGCAGGGTTTCTGAGACTGATGGTTTTTACAAGAGCAGACAGCATCTTTCTCCCACAGAAAAGCCCGTGGGTTTGAACTGCCAACCTTGTGGTTAGCAATCCAGCACTTAACCCACCATGCTGCTCCTGGATAAGAGAGTGTAGTTTTCATTCGTGAATTCAGGAGGACAAGGCATGTCGGCAAATTGAGGAAATGACCACACATTCGGAAATGACCACTATATTCAGAGGCTTGCAGGAGGGTACAGTAAACTCCTAGAAAGATTGTGATGAACAGGGCTTGAATTATTTGATAACGATTACCTTCCATGAGACTATGGTGGCTCAAGTAATAGTAACTCCTGACGCTAATAAGATAGATGTATTTAATAAGGGAATTTCTAGTGGGTTAAGGGGTACAATTCCTGTAGGGGTCAGCAGCCGCCTAGTTCTGGAGTTGGGCTAAGCTGGAGTGGAAGAAAACTCAGAAGAATCCTGAGAAAAAAGAACACTTCTGACACAATAAATAGGACAGTTGGTGTGTGGGGACCTTGAAATGTCCCAAATATAGAAATTAGGCCGATAGTTATCAGGGTATTAGAGTTATAATGGAATCATATGATTGTTCCTGATGTTAGAAGAAGAGCTGATAGGGCTCCTGTTAATGGTCAGGGGCTTGGGTTTACTATATGACTCAGAAGATGGGCAGGGACCCAGGACTGTGGAAAGTGACGATGATGCTGTGGGGACAGGGAACCGAGCAGGTACTGGGCTGGGAGTTGTGGAGCAGTGAACGGTGAAGGCAGGAAACTCAATGCACCCGGAACCCGGGAGAGCTTGGTCCTTTGTTGTTGTTATTAAGTGCCATTGTCATAGTGACCCTGTACAGGGTTTCCGAGGGACAGCTGGTGGGTTTGAATTGACAACTTTGTGGTTCACAGTCCAGTGCTGATCCTACAGTGCCACACCAGGGGAGTGAAAATCTCCTGCCTGCCCAGCTTTGGTTTCATCAGGAGTGGGGATTGTAGAGAGATGGGGGCAGAAGCAAGGTGGTCTGGAACAATCCATCCGGCCATCTGCAGAGGTTGGGAAGGAGGTGCTGGGGGTGGGGGCAGGAGAGGGTCTTATGGAGGTCCAGCCTAAGGAAAAGGAGCCTGGTGGAGCAGGGGGTTAAATGTTGCCCTGTTCACTGAAGAGGGCAGCAGTTCAAACTCTCCAGCTGCTCTGCAGGAGAAAGACGAGGCCGTCTATAAGACCCAGCCTCAGAATCCCTAGGGGCACATCTGCTCTTTTCTGCATGGTCACAGCGAGTTGGAATTGATCTCACAGCCTTGGGTATCTAAGGAGTTTGAAATACTGGGAGGTGAAATTGATGGTCAGTGCAGACTTCCTTCGCCTACTTCCTGCTCTCCTTGCTAAGCCCAATGTTGTCTGCCTCGATTTTTCTTTCTTCCAGGGACGTGTTCCCACAAGGTTTGCCTGATGAGTATGCCTTTGTCACAACCTTCCGGTTCCGGAAAACATCTCGGAAAGAAGACTGGTATATCTGGCAGGTCATCGATCAATATGGCATTCCCCAGGTGAGGACATTCCCCAGGTGGGGACATTCCTTAGGTGAGGGTATTCTCCAGAGAGGGCATTCCCAAGTGAAGGCATTTCCAGGTGAAAGCATTTCCCTGGTGGGCATTCCTTGGAGAGGGCATTCCCAGGTGGGTATTCCCAGCTAAGGGCGTTCCCAAATGGGGGTATTCACAGGTGAGTGTTTCCCCCAAGATGAGGGCATTCCCAGGTAAGGGCATTCCCAAGTGAAGGCATTCCCAGGTAAGGGCATTCATTCCCAAATGAAGGCATTCCCAGGTAAGGGCATTCCCATGTGAAGGCATTCCCAGGTAAGGGCATTCCCAAGAGAGCGCATAGTGCAGGTATAGGCAGCGCTGTTCTCACAGGGGCCAGCATCACCTGCCATGTTTTCTATGGGGGCCTATCTGTCCCAGGAGTTGGTGTGTGGAGAGTCTGAGAACAGAGAGCTTCATGTCCTTTTACTAGGTGTTAATCTAGCGCAAGCATCCCTCTGGAGGAGGACTGAAGAAGACTGGCCCCTATCCTCAGAGTCTCTTGATTTCATCAGGAAGATGGCAGCTTATTCATTATGGAAGCATTGTGTGGTGGAACAACTGTATTACACTCAGAGAGTTCTGAGTTCAAACCTAATCTCTACCTCTTTCTTGTTGTGGCTCAGGAGACAAGTGGGTTTTGTTTTCTGAGTCTTGTTTTCCTTATCTTTAAAGTGGAAAATAGATGCCAACCACGAATGATGGGTAAAAAGATCCATTGAAGTCAAGCCTGTAAAACAGCTAATACAGTGCCTAATACAGAAGGTTAAGGGTTAAATGTTACACCCTCAAAAGAATATGGAAGTGCTAATCCTGTACTTATAACTATATAGGGCCCTGATTGGAAAGAGGGGGGTTCTTCATTATGTTAATGATGTAGTACCAGAGTAGGGTGGACCTTAACCCTAAACCCTCTGAGAGGTGTTTTATAAAAGAGCAGAACAGACACAGGAAGACAGAGATCATCAAGAAACCATCTACAAGCCAAGGAACACCCAGAAAAAACACTGGGCAATGGATAAGGAAGACCAGAGAAGTACTGATGCATTTGAATTACGATGTTGGTGAAGAACATTGAACGATCCATGGACTGTAAGAGGAAGGACCAACTCTACCTTGGAAGAAGTACAAGCAGCCCTTGAGACGTGAGGATGGTGAGACTTTGATCTCATGGACTTTGGACATGCTTCAGGAGGGGTCAGTTCCTGGAAAAGGACAGCATGCTATGTAACGGGACAAAGAGGAAGACCCTCAATGACCTGGACTGACACCGTGTCTGTAACAATGAGCTCACATCTAGCAAGGGCTGTGAGGCTGGTACAGGACCAGGCAGGGTTTTGTTCTGTTGTACCTAAGGTTTTTATGAGCTGGAACCTACTCAATGGCAGCTAACAACAACAGATACAGAATCTTCTGTAGAAGTAAGGAACTTCCTCTAGAACTGGCATAGAGAGATCATTGCCCTGAATTCAAACTTCTAGCCTTCAAAACGACATTAACCAAATGACCGAGATGTGTAATAAAGATGCTGTCAAGGGTAGTTCCTTTTTCTGAAACTCTTCATTTTCTCTAGATTGAAAGTCTGAAGTCTTTCTTTTCCACCTCGGGTGTGATTTGCCCTTTAGTTCCCAAGAAGTTAGAACAACCCATCAACAGCACATAGGCAAGAGAGAAAAAACAAATCTAAAAATTCAAGTCATCAACACACAATCTGTCACAACTTTTTCATTTCTTGTCCAAATCGAAATCATCTTCTTCTCAGAGTTCATGGTTCAACTATATCTTTTTCTGCCATTGACTTATATCCTCTTCAGAAAAATAAACTTTGAAGATATGTCTTGTTCTCAGCTGGAAGACACTGATGGTATTTTCATTGGGATTGAAAATAAATAAAAATTGCTCAAGCCTTTGGAATCCAACAACCATACTCATGGAAATGCTTCCAAACCAGAACTTCTGCAGTTAAAGGTAGACCCTGATATTGAAATCATGTGATCACCACTGCTTATATAGTCCTGGTATAGCACTGTCGGATAATGCACTGGCCTACAAGGTCAGTTTGAACCACAGGGTCAGTGATTCAAACCCACCAGTTGCACCTTGGTCACCCTAGACGGGGTTGCTATGTGTTTGAACCATATAGCACTTAATATGAGAAGCTGAATTATCTGAAAAAGAATGCGGCTTCAGGATTGGAGCAAATTTCATTAACAGCCTACCATTTGTGAATAATGCAACCATGCTTGCTGTAAGTGAAGAGGACTTAAAATACTGATGAAGATCAGAGACTACAGCCTTCAGTATGGATTGGATCTCAATGTCAAGAAAACAAAAATTCTCACAACCACATCAAGAAATAACATCGTGATAAATGTAGAAAAGATTGTAACTGTCAAAGACTTCATTTTGCTTAAATTCATCATCAACACTCATGAAAAACAGCAGTCAAGAAATCAAAGGATGTATTATTGTATTCGGAAAATCTGCTGCACAAGTCCTCTGTAAAGTGGTCAAGAATAAAGATGTCATTTTGAGAACGAAGGGACACACGTGACCCAAGTCATAGTATTTTTAATCATCTCATATGCATGTGGAAGTTGGACAATAAGTAAGAAAGATTGGAGAAGAATTGATGCATTGGTATTATGGTGTGGTAGGAGAATACTAAATGTACCAAGAACTGCTCATAGAACAAATAATTCTGTGGTGGAAGAAGAATTGAGGTTGTGCTCTTTAGAACTAAAGATGGCGATACTTCACCTCTCATACTTTACACATGTTCTCAGGATGGACCAATTCCTGGAGAAGGTCCTCATGCTTAGAAAAGTAGAAGGTCAATAAAAAAAAAAAGAGGAAGACCCCCAATGAGATATATAGGCACAGTGGCAGCGACAATGGGCTCAACAGTATGAACAATTAGGAGAATGGCACATAACTGGGCAGTGTTTTGCTCTGTTGTGCATAGGGTCACCATGAATCAGAACTGACTGAACAGCACCTAATAACAACGGCAGGGATTGTGCTGAGAGCTTTGCAGATCTTAACTCCTTTAGTCCTCACAACAACCCCATGAGTTGGTTCTTCTGTTTTTATCTTAAGAAGGAGGAAAAGGACCACTGGAAGGTTAAGACATTTGCCAACATTTACATAGGTGGTCATGGGACACTGGGAACAGGCAGGAAGGCACGATGTCAGGCTCCCATGTCTGTACTTTTAACCCTTTTGCTCAGCAGTTCCTAGTCTGCTTCTGCCCATCAACTGGTGCTGCTGATGGAATTTTCTGTAACATCCCTGGACAGACTGAGCTGCGTCAATAACTTCAGGCCTGACTGCCCAGTGGCCTGATTTCCTAAGTGTGGGAGGCTGAGTAGAAGAGAACAGATTCTCCCCACGGCTCATTTTTCTGGAGAGCGGGTCTTGCATCTCCACTTTCTCAGGGTCTGGTGTGGTGAGACTGGGCACCTGCCATGACATTCTTGTGAGGTGAGCTGACACCACCCCCTCAGTCTGAGCTCTCTTTTTTTCATGGTGCTTGCTGAGCTGTGTGTGCTCCCCACCCCCATGTCTGCCTGCTCCTCCTTTTCTTCAGGAATGAGCAGTGGATGGAATTCCAGAGCCATGCGGAGGCCAAGTCTGCCTCTAAGACTTCAGACTCATTTTCCAAGGGCCAGCTGGCCACTCAATTTCAAGCAAGTCTTGGTTGAATGCTGTTCACTAGACATGCCAATGACCACCTCCACTCCTTGGGGGAATACTGGCTAGACACAGATACAGATACAGATCCTCTAAAAAGATGATCTGTGAGCAGAGCTATGTTAATGACATCCCCACACACTCATTAGGTGAGTATAGGTCATGAATCCTTTTCAGATCCCTGATCTCATATAATACTGGCAACCATTTTCTAAAGTTGGCATTTCCCCCCGTTTATCATTTGGGAAAATGGAGGTGCATTCATTCATCTATCCACAACATGATCAAGGGACAGGAATAAGGTTGGTGTGATGGACACAGAGAGTGTGTGTGTATGTATGTGGGGAGGATGGTGAGACTCACCCCCCAAAATGTTCTTCTTGTTGGGTGCCATTGAGTCAGATCCTACTCACTGTGACTCTAAGCACAACAAAAAACAGCATTGTCTGGGCTCTGCTCTGTCTTCACAATTGCTATTTTTGAGCCTGTTATTGTTGGCACTGTGCCAGTCTATCTTGTTGAGGGTCTCCCTCTATTTTTCTGATCTTCCACTTTATCAAGCATGATGTCCTTCTTCAGGGATGGTTCCTCTAGATAATATGTCCAAAGTACTAGAGATGAAGTCTTGGTGGTCTGGCTTCTGAGGAGTGAACTGGCTGCATAGCTTCCAAGACAAATTTGTTTGTTTTTCTAGCACTCCACGGTACTTTCAATATTCTTCTCCAACACCATAACTCAAATGCATTGGTTCTTCTACTATCTTCCTTATACATTGTCCAACTTTCACATGTATATTAGGTGGTTGAAAATACCTTGGCTTGGGTGAGGTGTACCTTAGTCCTCAAACTTTCCTCTTCAATACTTTAAAGAGGTCTTGTGCAGCAGATTTGCCTAATACGTCATTTGATTTCTTGACTGCTGCTTCCATGAGTGTTGATGGTCGATCCAAGAAAAATGAAGTCCTTGACAGCTTCAGTCTTTTCTCCATTTATCATGATGCCATTTAGTGGTCCAAAAGGAAGTGTTGTAAATCCTAGTCCTTACCCCTGTGGCAGCCTGGTCCTGTGCCCAGTTCACAATCACTGCTACATTTGTGCCCATGTTTCCTCAATAGCTGCTGTTCTTGCAGGAGCGGGCAACACTTCCTTCCATTGTACGTAAGTCCACTAGAAGCTGGAAGTGACTCCATGGTACCTAACAACAACAACATACTTGTAGCTAGAATCTCATTTGGGAATTAATTTTCTTTTTATTCTGTGAGGCCTTATCAGGGTGCTCCTGTTGGTAGGTGTTGTCAAGTTGATTCCGACTCATAGCAACCTTGTATAGGGTTTGCAAGGAATGGCTGGTGGGTTTGAATGGCCAACCTTGTAGTTAGTAGTCCAGTGCTAATCCCACAGCATCACACCAGGACTCCTTATCAGTGTTGTTGTCAGGTGCCATTGAGTTGGAACCGACTCATAGCGACCCCATGCACAGCAGAACAAAACAATGTCCAATCCTGGGCCAACCTCACTACCGCTGCCACACTTGACAGCATCAATGATGTCACCTGGCTGATCCATCTCGTTGGGAGTCTTCCTCTTTTTCTCTGACCCTCC